CGTCCCCAAGACCTACCGCAGTAAGTTGGGGGCGAGTGCAATCTGGTGTGTGCATTTGGGGCTGGCTGCTGAGAGCAAGGGATGGCTGCTGTGGGAACCATCCAAGGGTGTGTTGTTTGACAGCAGGGATGTGAAATTCATTGAGGGCATGATGTATGGGAGCTGGGAGAAACAGCCGAAGGCAAGGGTGTCCCAGCAGATGGAGCAGATCACCATGCAGCTGGACCTGACTCCTAGTGTGTGGGAGGAGGGAGAGGAGGCAGCTGCTGGAAATGGTGATGGAGAGAAGGTACAGGAGGCATCTGCTGGTGGAGAAAATGGTGTGGAAACTGGCGGCAGCACTAGTGGAGCTGCTGGACCCGAGGGAGGAGAGAAGCAGCAGGGAAAAACTAAGAAGCCGAAGGGTGTCGTTATGAAGGGATGGGAGACACCCGTCTCCAGGCCAGGACGTACCCGTATGGCTACTAAGAAGCTGACTGCAGGAACTGATGCAGCAGAGCAGCAGCTAGGGACCGAAGAGGCATTGCTGATTCTACCTCATGGCTATGACCCGGATGAGGAGGATGAGCCTGCGTACTGTTTTCTTGCCCCTGCACCAGAGGAACCAGCTAGCATGGAGGAGGCATTAGCTGGACCAGATAGGGACAAGTGGCTGGCTTCTAGGGATGCTGAGTACCAGAGTCTGCTGGAGAATAGGACATGGGATCTGGTGGTGCTGCCTGATGGGAAGAAAGCGATACAATGCAAGTGGGTGCTGAGGATCAAGACCGATGACAAGGGGCAGGTCACCATCTACAAGAGTAGGCTGGTGGCGAAGGGGTTTATGCAGAAGGAGAAGCAGGACTTCAACGAGATCTTTGCTCCCACTGCCAAACCCCCTACCCTCCGTGTCTTGTTGGCAGATGCAGCTGTTAGTGGAAAATTCATCATTCAGATGGATATTTCAACGGCATTCCTGAATGGGATTTTAGAGGAGGATGTGTACATGACGCAGCCGCCTGGGTATGAGGATGGTACGGGCAGGGTGTGCAAGCTCAACAAGTCCATCTACGGCTTGAAGCAGGCGCCACGCTGCTGGTACCAGAAGTTGGCAGCTGTTTTAGAGGAGATGGGATTCAGGACCAGCAGCTGTGATGAGAGCCTCTTTCTCAAGGGCGAGGGGGAGAAGCTGGTGCTGTTTCTGGTCTATGTGGACGACATTCTTCTCTTCAGCAGCAGCATGAAGGAGATCCAGAAAGTGCAGCAGCAACTGATGGAAAACTTCAAGTGCAAGAACCTTGGGGAGGTAAAGTACTACCTCGGGATGCACGTGGAGAGGGATCCAGATCACAGGTGGTTGAAGCTGCACCAGGAGAAGTTCATCAAGGAGCTGGGGGAGAAGTATGGGATTGAGAATGAGCGCAAGGTTGCAACTCCCCTGCCAGCAGAATTCAAGCTTGTGAAGGCTGCAGAGGATGAAGGGGTTGAAGCTGAAGAGCAGCAGCAATTTCAGTCCTTGGTGGGCAGCCTCTTGTACGCAGCAGTTCACACGAGGCCCGACATCTCTTTCTCGGTTGGGCAGCTGGCTAGGGTGGTGCAGAATCCATCAGAGGAGCAGGTGGATGCAGCTGAGCGTGTGGTGAAGTACCTGAACTCTCACCCAAGCATTGGAGTTCAATACTCCGCATCTGCACAGGTGAAGCAGAAAGGGGTGGAGGTGCTGAAAGAGAAGGGGGAGAGGCTTGGAGAAGGCAAGCTATTTCTCACTTGCTTTACCGATGCTACATGGGCTTCTGAGAAGGAGGATTCCTCATCTGTGGGAGGATACATCTGCGTAGTTGGGGGAGGACCTGTTAGTTGGAGGTCCAAGAAGCAGACGGAGACGGCACTCTCTTCCGTAGAATCAGAGTACATGGCGATGTTCCATGGGGTGAAGGAGGTGATTTGGCTGAGGAGGCTGTTAGAGGAGATTGGCCAGGAGCAGAAAGTTGCTACGCCGCTGTTTTGTGATAGCAAGGGGGCTCTTGGGATGGCCAGAAACGCTGTGCTTCATGGGCTGAACAAGCACATGCGTATCAAGTGGCACTGGCTGCGTAAGGAGGTGAAGAGGGGGACGGTGCATCCGATCTACATCAAGACTCACCAGCAGCCAGCAGACTTTCTCACCAAGAGGCTTGCGGATGAGCCTCATTGGCGTTGTGTGCGCATGAGTGGAATGAGCATGAACTAGCATGGAATGACGGGGATGCAGCCGGCAGGCTGAGGGGGAGTGTGTTGGGTGCAAATGCACATTGCACGACATCCTGCCGTCTGTTTGTACGAGTATGCGTGTGCGAATGCATTTGTGTGTGAATGGTGTGTTCGTGTGTTTGTTTGCTTTCGCATTTTTCGCTTGATGCATTTGCAGGTACTCGCGCAATGTGCGCTTCGGCACAACATTGTATGCGCTATGAACAGTGCAAGCAGAAAGGACGAGCTCGCAAAGGAACCCAAGATGGAAGCTTTGCAGTTCGGTTGAGTTGATTGCGCAGATTCAGTTCTATCCAACTCGAAATTGTACTGTTTTGTTTGGTTAACTATAGTGTAGCAGGGAAGGCACTATAGGGGTACAATTTAGGTGAAGGTTGGATGTTGTTTGTCTGTATCTGCATGCTACAAGGCCAGGGGAAACCAGCGGAACCAGCATTTGGCTGGTTGGGCAAAGACAAAACAGGTTCTGTTTTTAGAACCTGAACCTGGTTGTTGTTTTCCCAGGTTGGAAAAACAGAACCAGAGGTTGTTTACCAACCTACCACCTGCTATTTTGTCCAGCCAGGTTGGTTCTGTTGCTTGGAATTATTTGGGATCATCCCTGGTTGTTCCCAGGTTGATTCCCAAGGTCCTTGCTAGCTAGAACTATTTAATCCTTCTCTGTTTGTACCTGAATATAGTAAAATTGATTCAAGCGAATTCCTTCCTCGCTGGAATTTCGTTTCTGCACTATTCGACGGCGGAATGCTACCCGAGTCAACGCTAGTATGCTAGCACTCCAACGCTAGGCAAACGCTGTCCGAGCCATAACTTAGTAATGGCAGAACTTTTCGCGAGGCAACTTGGCTCATTTTAAAGCTCTTGGAGCGAGCTTCGATATAGCGAATTCTCAGCTTAATCCGATCGACGGTCTGCACGGCACGCTGCGCGACGTTCAAGGTACTCTTGCTGTTTTGACTAAGTCCTTCTTGATCCCTCTCTCTACAAACTCGGACCCGAGGATAGGGGCTGGTCTTGTACCAGGCACCCAGGGACCCTTGGAGGTGACCCCGAGGAGAGGTTTTAAGTTTGATTAAGTCCTAATAGCTTGATTTTATTAGGCCCTTACACAAACACTGGGCACGATGGGGTTGATGGGCGTGATGGCGGAAATTCTGGGCTGTCATAGTATCGAATGCCACCGCGACGGCGCGCATTGCAGCGCATATTTGACCCTTTTCCTTTGTCCTTGTTTGTAATGCACGTAGGAGTTTGCGAGGTACTTACAACAGAAGGCGGTGACACGGTTGTTGGTGGAGCAGAGGATTCTGAGGGCACCGAAGGCTGTTGACTAGAGGAGTGGTTGCTTCTCTTCAGTCGCGCCAGTGAAGAACAGTAACTTCTCCCGCTTGGTGTTTTTCTCGTTGTACATGTCGATTTCATTCTGTTCGGAGAGGAGCATGGCACACAGGGCGGACTTGGAAATGGTTGCTCTTGCACGGAGCAATAACTGGCATTGGTGCTGATCGGGTCGCGATGAACATGTCATCATGGACGGTTTGTTAAACTGTATTATGCTTGTAGGCTGTAGTGGGGTAGCCAATATGGGGTACAACCCCAACTAGGGTTTCATATTTGTACCCAAACTTCTGCTAGTTCAATCATTCTTGCCTAGCTATTCTGAAATGGTATCAGAGCAGGAGGTCCCTAGGACCTACCGACCGTTTTTTTTTTTAAGGGCCCACCACCGCTCGCATGCGGTTACCACGCTACCCCGTGCCCTAGCCTCGTAGCGCCCTCGTGCGCCCTCGTTAGCGCCCTCGCGCGCCCCTCGTTAGCGCCCTCGCGCGCACCCTCGTTAGCGCCCTCGCGCGCCCCTCGTTAGCGCCCTCGCGCGCCCCTTGCTAGCGCCCTCGCGCGCCCCTCACTAGCGCCCTCGCGCGCCCCTCGCAGTGTCGCCCGCCCGCCGAGCCGCCCGCTCGCAGCCCGCTCGTCCTGCTGCCCGCTTCGCAGCCCGCCCGCCCGCTCGCTGCCCGCTTCGCGGCCCGCCCGCTTCGCAGCCCGCTCGCTCGCTGCCCGCTCCGCGGCCCGCCCGCTTCGCAGCCCGCTCGCCCGCTCGCTGCCCGCTTCGCGGCCCGCCCGCCCGCTCGCTGCCCGCTTCGCGGCCCGCCCGCTTCGCAGCCCGCTCGCTCGCTGCCCGCTTCGCGGCCCGCCCGCTTCGCAGCCCGCTCGCCCGCTCGCTGCCCGCTTCGCGGCCCGCCCGCCCGCTCGCTGCCCGCTTCGCGGCCCGCCCGCTTCGCAGCCCGCTCGCTCGCTGCCCGCTTCGCGGCCCGCCCGCTTCGCAGCCCGCTCGCTCGCTGCCCGCTTCGCGGCCCGCCCGCTTCGCAGCCCGCCCGCCCGCTCGCTGCCCGCTTCGCGGCCCGCCCGCCTCGCAGCCCGCTCGCCCCGCTGCCCGCTTCGCGGCCCGCCCACTTCGCAGCCCGCCCGCCCGCTCGCTGCCCGCTTCGCGCCCCGCCCGCTTCGCAGCCCGCTGGCCCCGCTGCCCGCTTCGCACCCCGCCCGCCCGCTTCGCTGCCCGCTTCGTGATCCCTTGGATCCGCACGGTTCGTCTCCAGCTCCGCCGCCGTTTCCGGACGGATCTTCCTGTCCTGCGTCTGCACTCTGACAGAGGTGGTGAGTTTTCCTCCGATCTCTTGAGGACCTTCTGTCAGGCGGAGGGCATCGAGCAGACCTTCACGCTTCCGGACTCCCCACAGCAGAATGGGGTTGCTGAGCGCCGCATTGGTCTCGTCATGGAGGTCGCTCGTACCTCCTTGGTCCACGCGGCGGCTCCCCATTTTCTGTGGCCGTTTGCTGTCCGGTACGCCGCGCATCAGCTCAACCTCTGGCCCCGTGTCTCCTTGCCGGAGACCTCGCCCACACTGCGTTGGACGGGGGAGGTTGGCGATGCGTCGCGCTTCCGGGTGTGGGGTGCTCGTGCCCTTGTCCGCGATACGTCCGCGGACAAGCTCTCCTCCCGCACGCTTCCCTGTGTCTTCCTTGGCTTTGTCCCTGACGCGCCTGGCTGGCAGTTTTACCACCCCACCTCGCGCCGGGTCTTCGCCTCTCAGGATGTCACCTTTGACGAGTCGGTCCCTTTTTACCGTCTCTTCCCCTACCGCACTGCCCCCCTCCCTCCCCCGCCGCTTTTCCTTGCTCCTGGTCCCCCTCCGGTAGACCCCCTTCCCCCTCAGGGTCCTGCTCCTTCAGGTGTCTCTCAGGTAGACCCTCCTCCCGTCGCTGAGCCTGTCGAGTTCACAGGTGACTCAGGTGCTGCTGCGGGTGGTGCTGCTGGGAGTGCTGAGCCTGGGGGTGCTGAGCCTGGGGGTGCTGGGCCTGGGGGTGCTGGGGCTGCAGGTGCTGGGACTACGGGTGCTGGAGCTGAGGGTACGGTGCCTGAGAGTACGGAGCCTGGGGGTGCTGAGCCTGGGGGTGCTGAGCCTGCGGGTGCGGGGCCTGGGAGTGCTGGGACTACGGGTGCTGGAGCTGAGGGTACTGTGCCTGAGAGTTTGCCGCCTGGGGGTGCTGAGCCTGGGGGTGCTGCGACTGGGGGTGCTGAGCCTGCGGGTACTGAGCCTGCGGGTACTGAGCCTGGGGGTGCTGCTACTGAGCCTACGGAGCCTCGGGTTACTGCGTCTGGGGGTGCTCCGGTTCGGGGTGCTGAGCAGTCTCTCACACCGCAGCAGCTTCGTGACTGGTACGTCCGGCGCTTTCGCCGTCCTAGTGGCTCGGCTGGAGTTGGGGGTGCTGGGGCTGCTCGTCCTGGGGGTGCTCGTACTGGGGGTACTGGAGCTGCCGGGACTGGTTGTTCTGGGAGCACTGCGACTGGAGCTGCTGGAGTTGGGAACTCTGGCGCTGGCGGTGCTAGCGGAGTTGGAGCTGCCGACTCTGGGGGTGGCGCTGCTGCTGGTGCTGCGGACCCGCCTGGTGGAGCTGCTGCTGGAGCTGAGGACCCGAGCGGTGGCGCTGCTGCTGGTGCTGGGGACCCGGACGTTGGAGCTCCTGCTGGTCCTGAGGACCCGGCCGCTGGAGTCTCTTCTGCTTCTGGAGACGCTGCGCGGCCGCGACCGTACTTCGTACCGCTCCTTCAGCAGGTTCTTGGGCAGGCTCCTCCTCCTTGTCCTCCTCCCTCCGTAGAGTGTCCTCCGCCTGTCCAGCCGCAGTCACAGTTACCGCCTGCCTCGCCTCTCCCTGCTCCCTCTCCTTACGCTGGTCCCACAGGAGGTCTTACAGAGCGTCGTGAGCCTGAGTCTCGTCCTGTGTCGCCTGTTCGTCCTGCTCGCACTGGTAGTCGTGTCCGTCGTGAGCGTCCTCCTCCTGTCCCAGGCACTCACTACATGACTCTGCGTCCCTCTACTGCTCCTCGGCGTGTCCCTCTACCGTCTCCTCCTGCGTCCTCTTTGCCTGCCGTTCCGGACCCTGAGTCTGACCGGTATCGCGCTGAGCACCCTACAGTCACGCGTCTCCTCGCTACTGACCCTACCTTTGAGTCCTCGGCTGCGTCTGCTCTGGTCGCTGAGTTGGTTGACTTTGCTGCTGCCTGTCGTCTAGACTACGCTGCTAGCCTTGTTGCTGAGTCAGAGTCTGCGTCTGTCTGTCCTCCGTCCGTCGGGGGTGAGTGTGCTCTTGGCACGGACGTCCTTGAGGACAGGCAGGAGGACTTTGTGTTGGTGTAAGGGCCTAATAAACTCAAGCTATTAGGACTTAATCAAACTTAAAACCTCTCCTCGGGGTCACCTCCAAGGGTCCCTGGGTGCCTGGTACAAGACCAGCCCCTATCCTCGGGTCCGAGTTTGTAGAGAGAGGGATCAAGAAGGACTTAGTCAAAACAGCAAGAGTACCTTGAACGTCGCGCAGCGTGCCGTGCAGACCGTCGGTCGGATTAAGCTGAGAATTCGCTATATCGAAGCTCGCTCCAAGAGCTTTAAAATGAGCCAAGTTGCCTCGCGAAAAGTTCTGCCATTACTAAGTTATGGCTCAGACGGTGTTTGCCTAGCATTAGAGTGCTAGCGTACTAGCGTTGACTCGGGTAGCATTCCGCCAACGAACCGCGTAGAAACGAAATTCCAGCGAGGAAGGAATTCGCTTGAATCAATTTGACTATATTCAGGTACAAACAGAGAAGGATTAAATAGTTCTAGCTAGCAAGGACCTTGGGAATCAACCTTGGAACAACCAGGGATGATCCCAAATAATTCCAAGCAATAGAACCAACCTGGCTGGACAAAATAGCAGGTGGTAGGTTGGTAAACAACCTCTGGTTCTGTTTTTCCAACCTGTGAAAACAACAACCAGGTTCAGGTTCTAAAAACAGAACCTGTTTTGTCTTTGCCCAACCAGCCAAATGCTGGTTCCGCTGGTTTCCCCTGGCCTTGTAGCATGCAGATACAGACAAACAACATCCAACCTTCACCTAAATTGTACCCCTATAGTGCCTTCCCTGCTACACTATAGTTAACCAAACAAAACAGTACAATTTCGAGTTGGATAGAACTGAATCTGCGCAATTAACTCAACCGAACTGCAAAGCTTCCATCTTGGGTTCCTTTGCGAGCTCGTCCTTTCTGCTTGCATTGTTCATAGCGCGTACAATGTTGTTCCGAAGCGCACATTGCGCGAGTACCTGCAAATGCATCAAGCGAAAAATGCGAAAGCAAACAAACACACGAACATTCCATTCACACCCAAATGCATTCGCACACGCATACTCGTACAAACAGACGGCAGGATGTCGTGCAATGTAAATTTGCACCCAACACACTTCCCCTCAGCCTGCCGGCTGCATCCCCATCATTCCATGCTAGTTCATGCTCATTCCACTCATGCGCACACAACGCTAATGAGGCTCATCCGCAAGCCTCTTGGTGAGAAAGTCTGCTGGCTGCTGGTGAGTCTTGATGTAGATTGGATTCACCGTCCCCCTCTTCACCTCCTTACGCAGCCAGTGCCACTTGATACGCATGTGCTTGTTCAGGCCATGAAGCACAGCGTTTCTGGCCATCCCAAGAGCCCCCTTGCTATCACAAAACAGCGGCGTAGCAACTTTCTGCTCCTGGCCAATCTCCTCTAACAGCCTCCTCAGCCAAATCACCTCCTTCACCCCATGGAACATCGCCATGTACTCTGATTCTACGGAAGAGAGTGCCGTCTCCGTCTGCTTCTTAGACCTCCAACTAACAGGTCCTCCCCCAACTACGCAGATGTATCCTCCCACAGATGAGGAATCCTCCTTCTCAGAAGCCCACGTAGCATCGGTAAAGCAAGTGAGAAATAGCTTGCCTTCTCCAAGCCTCTCCCCCTTCTCTTTCAGCACCTCCACCCCTTTCTGCTTCACCTGTGCAGATGCGGAGTATTGAACTCCAATGCTTGGGTGAGAGTTCAGGTACTTCACCACACGCTCAGCTGCATCCACCTGCTCCTCTGATGGATTCTGCACCACCCTAGCCAGCTGCCCAACCGAGAAAGAGATGTCGGGCCTCGTGTGAACTGCTGCGTACAAGAGGCTGCCTACCAAGGACTGAAATTGCTGCTGCTCTTCAGCTTCAACCCCTTCATCCTCTGCAGCCTTCACAAGCTTGAATTCTGCTGGCAGGGGAGTTGCAACCTTGCGCTCATTCTCAATCCCATACTTCTCCCCCAGCTCCTTGATGAACTTCTCCTGGTGCAGCTTCAACCACCTGTGATCTGGATCCCTCTCCACGTGCATCCCGAGGTAGTACTTTACCTCCCCAAGGTTCTTGCACTTGAAGTTTTCCATCAGTTGCTGCTGCACTTTCTGGATCTCCTTCATGCTGCTGCTGAAGAGAAGAATGTCGTCCACATAGACCAGAAACAGCACCAGCTTCTCCCCCTCGCCCTTGAGAAAGAGGCTCTCATCACAGCTGCTGGTCCTGAATCCCATCTCCTCTAAAACAGCTGCCAACTTCTGGTACCAGCAGCGTGGCGCCTGCTTCAAGCCGTAGATGGACTTGTTGAGCTTGCACACCCTGCCCGTACCATCCTCATACCCAGGCGGCTGCGTCATGTACACATCCTCCTCTAAAATCCCATTCAGGAATGCCGTTGAAATATCCATCTGAATGATGAATTTCCCACTAACAGCTGCATCTGCCAACAAGACACGGAGGGTAGGGGGTTTGGCAGTGGGAGCAAAGATCTCGTTGAAGTCCTGCTTCTCCTTCTGCATAAACCCCTTCGCCACCAGCCTACTCTTGTAGATGGTGACCTGCCCCTTGTCATCGGTCTTGATCCTCAGCACCCACTTGCATTGTATCGCTTTCTTCCCATCAGGCAGCACCACCAGATCCCATGTCCTATTCTCCAGCAGACTCTGGTACTCAGCATCCCTAGAAGCCAGCCACTTGTCCCTATCTGGTCCAGCTAATGCCTCCTCCATGCTAGCTGGTTCCTCTGGTGCAGGGGCAAGAAAACAGTACGCAGGCTCATCCTCCTCATCCGGGTCATAGCCATGAGGTAGAATCAGCAATGCCTCTTCGGTCCCTAGCTGCTGCTCTGCTGCATCAGTTCCTGCAGTCAGCTTCTTAGTAGCCATACGGGTACGTCCTGGCCTGGAGACGGGTGTCTCCCATCCCTTCATAACGACACCCTTCAGCTTCTTAGTTTTTCCCTGCTGCTTCTCTCCTCCCTCGGGTCCAGCAGCTCCACTAGTGCTGCCGCCAGTTTCCACACCATTTTCTCCACCAGCAGATGCCTCCTGTACCTTCTCTCCATCACCATTTCCAGCAGCTGCCTCCTCTCCCTCCTCCCACACACTAGGAGTCAGGTCCAGCTGCATGGTGATCTGCTCCATCTGCTGGGACACCCTTGCCTCCGGCTATTTCTCCCAGCTCCCATACATCATGCCCTCAATGAATTTCACATCCCTGCTGTCAAACAACACACCCTTGGATGGTTCCCACAGCAGCCATCCCTTGCTCTCAGCAGCCAGCCCCAAATGCACACACCAGATTGCACTCGCCCCCAACTTACTGCGGTAGGTCTTGGGGACGTGGGCGACTGCCATGCAACCGAACACCCTCAGCATGTCCACCGGCGGCTTCCTCCCAAGCCACCTCTCCAAAGGCACCCACGAGTCATCCCCAACCTTGGTGAGCACCCTGTTCCTAGCGACGGTGGCGTGCCGGACAGCATGAGGCCACATAGAGTTGCTCAGCCCAGATTCTATGAGCAGCGCCCTAGCTGTCTCCAGAATGGTCCGGTTTGCCCGTTCTGCTACACCATTGGACTGTGGGGTATAAGCCGTGGTCAGCTCTCTCTGGATGCCCTGCTTCTTGAGCCAGGCCATCATTTCAGCTCCAAGGAACTCACCACCCCGGTCTGTCCTAATCCGCTTCACTACACACTCCGCCTGCTTCTCCACGAATGGCAGCCAATCGTCCCGTATCGTGGAGGCGGCGTGGTCCTTCTGCTTCAGCGGATACGCCCACATCAGTCTGCTCCAGTCATCCACAATTGTAAGAAAATACCGCTCCCCCTTGTGCCCTTGCACCGGCAGCGGCCCCACCAAGTCCATGTGGACCAGCTCCAAAGGCTTCTTGCTCCTGCCAGCCATACTATGGAAAGGGAAACGGGTGAACTTTGAAAGCAAACAGATTTCACAGTTGTCATCGGGTGGCTGTCCGTTCAGCTTCAGACCCTTAACGGCTCCATCCTTCTCCAGCTGCTTCAGCAAAGGCATTGCCACATGCCCTAAGCGTCGGTGTGCCGTTGCCCAATCTGTCTCCCCAGATCTGGCCGACACTTTCACACCAACCCCTCCAACGGCATTGCACTCCCCCTGGGATGCAGACCCCTCTCCAGCCTGCCCCCCACCATGCCACGCCAGGGCCGGCAGCTGCCACATAGATCTGTACACGTCCTTGCTCTCGTGCAGATCCCAAAGCACCCGATTGCCCAGCTTCCCCTTATAAGTGCGTGCCCCATCCGTGTTGGTGTTCACCCCAGCCTTGCCAAGCTTACGGAGGGAGATAAGGTTGGCCTTCAGGTCGGGGACGAAGAGAACGTCGTGCAGCACCACCGGCTTGCCATCCGCTCCCTTAAACGCAGCTCGTCCCGCACCAGCCACCTTCAACATGTGTCCAGAGGCGGAGCACACTTCATTGATCGGTGCAGCTCGTACTTCGTCCAGCAGGTCCTTGCGCGGCGTCATCGTCCAAGCAGCGCCTGTGTCCAACACCCAATAGTCTAGGGGGTGCAGCTCTGCTCCAACTTTGGCAGAGGCGTCTCCTTGCTCCCCCTTGTCTCCCACATGGAAGAATTGGCCCGCGGTGCGCTCCTTCTTCTTCTCCGCACCGCCGTTGCCCTTCGGGTTGTTGTCGGACGAATCAGCGACCACATCCTGGCGCCGTTTTTCTGGCGCGCGCGCTGCCATCCTGGTGACGATTCTGGGGGGTCCATCCATCGGGTTTCTTATAGCACAAAAACCAGGGGTGCCCTTCCTTCTCACAATACTAGCAACTCCCTTTCATTTTGCCACCAGCACCCGACTTGCCCCCACGTCCAGATTTCGCACCGCGACCCCAACCGGTACCTCCTTGTTGGTCGTTGGAGTCGTCGTCCTTCTTTGCACCGCGTCCAGCACCACCGAAGCCACGTCCTCTGCCACGTCGGCTCCCTTGCATCCCGTAGCCGCTGCTGCCGTCGTCTCCACCCCTCA